TTAAGTTCCGTTATTTGAATATTATAGGTGTGTAAACTCAGCAAAATATTCTAAAAGAGTCCAGTAGCCCATAATAGTATTGGGTCTTCCGCTTCACTGACAATGTGAGAAATTGTTGACCTGTATTCCCTACAGCTCAACATAACAGCAAGGATTTACTTCTTATACTTCTTTTTTATACTTTTCTGCTGGGTGGTTAAGACCAAGGTAAAGCAGGACCTATCCAACAACAGTTGCAGCTTTTGGGTCTGACAAGGTCAGTGAAATGCCCTCAGGATTTATCCTGAGATCCTGTAACTCAGATTGTAGAACCTTTGTCATTGTCAGCCATGTGGATGAGTCACGGCCATTGCTTGGCTAATGTGCTCTCCATGAAAGCCTAAGAGAATGTTTTCTCTCCCTTTTAGTCTCCTTAGGCACACTGTACATCATTGATCACTTTTCTCTTTGGCCCCATAATATCCTTGATCAGAAAATTTGGGACACTACAGGGTTACATGACAAGTGACATGTTACAGTACGTGTTCTCATACATCCTGACTCTTAATTGACCTTGCAAGGCTAGGACCAAAATGTTGGCTTTCCTTGCGGCCCTCCTTTTTCTCTAATTTTGGTCTGCAAACTTAGATTGTTAACCATCCAGAAGATGAGCTTATTGTTATTACCATACAACTTAGGCTGCTAAGCTTAACCTCACTATCTGTCTGAATATCCAACATCTTAGGCAAAACATGGAACAGGTATTTTTTCATCAAGTATTGATATGTTGAACTTTAAGTCCATATAGAATATGATGAAAAAACATTTAAAAATTAGAATATATTTTAAAAATAGGCATAAAGAATTAGATACTTCTTATGTTTACACACAAGTCCAGAAATCTAACCATATACAACCTTGAAGCAAGACAGTTCAACAATATTGCTTTTCCTGTCTCTTGCTTCCATTCACCACCCACTTCTTTTTGAACAGTCATCTACCCAAGAGACAGCACAGCAGCAACTGGCATGTGATGACAAGTAGCCTGTATTCAGAAGACCAGAATGATAGGCACTCCAAGCATGAAACTACTATTACAGATTACCATCTTCAGTGCAGTTACTTCGTTCACAGGTATCAGTATATATAGTTAGTCAGGGTGAGAATCTTTCGAATTAACTGCTAGATTCAAAAATCTTCTGTAGATTCTCAGGATCATTGCCTTGCCCATCTTTTACATATTACTGTATGGCTTGACATTTTCATGTTTCCTAGCTTTTCTCCTTTCCCTCTCTTGATTAGTTAGTCCTCGAGATCCTGCTTTCCTTTTACTTGTATTATACCTTTCTATTTGTATTTCTTCTTTTGAGTTCTTATACTAGGGAAACTATGATATTTACCCATATGTGTTTAGTTTATTTCACTTATGAGTATATGTTCAAGTGGCATCCACTTCAATATCAAGCCTTCGAGTTTATCATTCTTAATAGCTGAAGAATACTCCATTGTGTAAAAATTCCACATCTTTTTCATCAATTCCTCCTGTGATGGGTATCTTGGTTGTTTCCAAGATTTGGCTATCACAAATTGTGCTGCTATAAACATAGTCACACATATATCCCTATGATATGATGTTTTCAGAACCTCCGGGAAAATTCCCAGTAGAGGAATTGCTGATTTAAATGGGATTTCCAGTCCAACATTTAATGTCAAAAGAAATTACCAACAAAGTGAAAAGGCAACCCACAAATTTGGAAAAAATCATGGCAAATAAGTTCTCAGACAAAGGTCTGCTCTCTAGAATTTATAAAGAACTAAAAAACACTAGGGCCCAAAATTTAAAGACTCAATCCAGAAATGGGCATCTTAGATGAACACATGCTTCTCAGAGGAAGAAATTAAAGAAGCGAATAAATACATGAAAAAATGCTCCACGTCACTAGCCATCCACAAAATGTGAATTAAAACAACATTGAGATATCATCTCACCCCAGAAAGAATGGCTATTGTAAAGAATTCACCCAAGAACAAATGTTGGAGAGGCTGTGGGCAAAAAGGCACCCTTTTCCATTGCTGGTGGGAATTTAGACTGGTGCAACCATTATAGAAATCAGTGTGGAGACTCCTTAGAAAAGCAGTACGTATTTAGAAGACCAGAATATGAAGCCACTCCTTTGGACCTTCACCATGACTTTCCAGAGAATAAAATTTTTACCAGTTCTGTTGGTTAAAATACACCATGTGCTGTTAATGCTGTGACTAGAAGCTTTAACCAATACTTTAAAAATCCATTTCTAGATGGCTAGAACATTTTTTTATTTCTTTTTTTCCATTCTTTTTTTTTCTTGCGGAACCAGGGATTGAACTCAGGCCCTTGCGCTTGTCAGGGAAGCACTTATTCCACTGAGCCATCTCCACAGCCCTCCATTCTTTCATTTAGGCATATATTAGTGACTTCTCCAAATTGACCATTTATAATCACTTGTAATTGTAAGTGTACATACCCTAGGTTAATGACTGAATCTAGGTCAAGTCTAGTTTCCTCTTTAAATATAACGAGACAGATTATTTTAGCTGTAATGAGTCCATATTTATCTGAAACATATTTTCAATGCTTATTACAGCCTACAATCACCTGAAGAGTATTAAAAACCACAAAGATGGAACCAGAGGACAGCTTTTCCATTATCTTGTTCAACTGATGTAGTGTTGAACCTCAGAACTTTAGAATAAATTTCCTGAATTATTCTAACATGCAGGAAGAGTTGAAAACCACTCATCTAAACTTGTATTGGTCTACATTATCACCAACAATGGAGAAGGGTTCCTTTTCCCCCCACAACCTCTTCAACATTTGTTATTGGTTGATTTCTTTATGATAGCAATTCTTTGTGGAGTGAGATGGTATCTCAGGATTGCTTTAATTTGTATTTCACGGATGGCTAGTGATGTGGAGCATTTTTCATATATTTATTCGCTTCTTTCATTTCGTCCTCTGAGAAGTTTGTGTTCATCTTGGATGCCCATTTTTTTGATTGGGTCTTTAAATTTTGGAACCCTACTGGTTTTCAGTTCTGTATAAATTCTAGAGAGCAGACCTTTGTCTGAGTGCTTTTTAGTCAAGATTTTTTTTGAAATTTGTGGGTTGTCTTTTCACTTTGCTGGTAATTTCTTTTGACATACAAAAACTCTTTAATAAGTGGTGGTCCCAGTTGTTAATTCTTTCAAGTATTACCTGTGCGACTTGATTTTAGTTCATGAAATCTTTGCCTACCCCAATGACTTCAAAATTTCCTCCTACTTTCTCTTCCAGGAGATTTGGTATTTCTGTTTTAATGTTTAGATCTTTAATCCATTTGACTTCAGTTTAGTGCATGGTGATAGACCTGGGTCAAGTTTTAGTTTCTGGCATGTAGAGAGCCAGTTTTTCTAGCACCATTTGTTAAAGAGCTATCTTTCTTCCAGTAAGCATGTTTGGCCCCTTTGTCAAAGATAAGGTGACTGAGTGTGGTTTTAGTTGCTTCTGAATCTTCTAATCTATTCCATTGATCCTTAGGTCTACTTTTTTGTCAATACCATGTTGATTTTATCACAGTAGCTTTGTAGTATAATTTTTTTTTGAAATTTAAAGAAAAAATTTATTGGAGATCTGAAAAACAATTCCTAAAAGATTGACTTTTCCAGAAAACTGTAGCTACACAATGCATTGCGTCTATCACGTTAAAACGTGCATTAGACACAAATACAAAAACCATGAAACAATTCACCATCCTTCAACAACTGGAGCAAAGGTAAATGCCTAAAGAACAACATGGATGACTTGCAAAGGAAGGGCTCTTTAAGCACCATTAAAAAAAAAGAGCACAAATGGATGTGTGTGTTCAGTTATATACACTGAATTGGACCTTTGGCACTAGGAATCAGAGCATTTTGTCATATAGCATTAACACGTATTATAAAAGTGCGTAGTATCAAAGGAATAGAACCACCAGCATTCAAAAGCAGCTTTATCAACTAGGCAATAAAACACTCCACCATGCCTCTCTGTTGTCCATCACTGAATACACTGGTAGCAACTTTGCAATGAAAAAAAGAAAGAAAAAAGGAGCTGTAACCCCTTTTATTTTCTGTTTAAAATCAAACAAAACAAACAACTCTGTTATACACTAACATCTTCAAAGTACATCATTTGTACAAGAGAAAGACTAGGAACAAAAACATGTTGACAGAGATCCAAACACCGGTGAGTGTGCCTCACACTGCTTTCCGATGGTACTCAGGAGGGGCCACTTCATAATCACTGGCACTAAACAAAGTTGCCGAATTCTTTGCCAGATACTTGAGGAAATCATGAAGATAATTCAGTAATAAAGCAAGGCTCTTCTCATCCAGAGGTGTATAGGCCAACATTGCTCCAATTCGGACAAATAATCTCAGTAGATGTGGTGCTCCATACACGTGGGACATGGGTGCATCAGGGTGATCAGCAAGGATCTCAGCGTACTGTGGTCTCTCAAATTTGTAGAGGAGCTGAGTGCCCAGCATCACATTGAAGTATTCTTTTATCCCTGCTACCACCTCATTAACAGCATACTCCTTATTATCTGTGTTTCCTTGGGATTTCTTATAATTTGCATAGTCCTCTAGAATGGAGTCCACATTCTTCTTAGCAGGAAGATAGAACAGCTGTTTCTGTCTGGTGATCAGATCCCAGTCATCAACAAGCCAGGCTTTAGCTCTTCAGGGATCTTTACTTTAACTTCAACTCTGTTCATAAATGTTTCTTCATTTTCAACAGTAGGATCAACCCGGGCCCTCTTCTTCCGAGGAGGCTGAGGTGTTTCACTGGTACTGCCACCATCTCCATTACCAGGGGTTTTTTGTTTGTTCTTTTTAGTTTTCACTTCAACATTTTTCTGTTGCAGACCGGATGTCTTCTTCCCTGGAGCAGCCCCTCTCATCTTTCCCTCTGCATACTGCTCCTGATTGGCCTTTTGAAGTTCACGCTGTTTCTGCAGATTGGTATCCACATACTTGAGCACTCTGCTTTCTGGAACCCACTCATCCCAATTTTTATTCCAACCACTGTAGTGTATAAAGTATTTTACTTGTTTGTCCTTTATGGCAACCTTTACACACTTTGCTTCATAAAGAAGAGGGCCATGAAAGCACAGTACTCGTTCGCCCTCCTGGAACTTGGGCTTCGGGTCCTGCTTGGGCGCCATTTATAAGTGATTCGCCGCCTCCTTCTCCCACCACCCCCAACTACCGCCCCCTACTCTCTACCCCACCCGAGCTCGCATCAGACGCGCCATCAGGCACAGCCACTCTACATCCTTGGCCCTGTAGTACAATTTCATGTCAGGAATTGTAATGCCTCCTGCCTTGTCTTTGTTGACCAGGATTGCCTTTGCTATTCTAGGTCTTTTCTGGTTTCAAATAAATTTTAGGAATGAGTTCTCTAGCTCTCTGAGGTATGTTGGTGGCATTTTGATAGTGATTTCATTAAATCTGTGCAACAACTTTGGGAGTATGGCCATCTTCATAACATTGTTTGACCTTGTCAGATACAAAAGTTACATTTCTTTTTATGTAGGTCTTGCTTTATCTTGGTCTTAACCATCCAGCAGAAAAGTATAAACATGAGGTAAAGAAGTAAAGCCATATTAATATGCTGAATTGTAAAAGGCTCTAGTCAACAACTTCTGACATTGCCAATCCTACAGATAACTCACTGCAGTTATGGACTGATGGACTATATTGGATTATTTTGCTGAATTGGTGTACTCACAATATTTAAATGGCATGGAATACCTATTTATGACAAAACTATAAAAAAGTGTGATATAAATGAAGGACCAACTTGTAGTGAAATATATATACATATATATGTATATATATTTAATGTTTAGAATAGATATACAACTACTTTTCTTACTTCATAGAGAAGAACAATTTGTACTAATAGTGTTTGGAAAGGATATCATGTCTGCATCTTGTACTATGAATAACTACTTTTGAAGACAACAATATGCAAATTATTGTAACTGTCATACTAACCTCTTGAAACTCTCATTGCTGTTTATTTCTTAATAAAATTAATAAATAAATAAGTAGAATAAAAAAATAAAGCTAGTCTTGATAGTAGTTCCTGAAATGATGTCCTTAAACTTGCATCATCAGTCCCCCATTGGTATTTGTTAGAAATGTTAATTCTAGGCTCTGTACTGGACTCCTTGCTTAATCCCAAACTCTATAGTTGAGTGTAGTAATATTGCTTTTATTAAATCCTCTAGATGATTCTGTTCTACACTAAGGATGGAAATTCACTGGTTTAAGCAAGTGTATCTTTCTGAAATAGTTGTGTGTTTTTCAAACTATGTTTACTCATAGAACATGTGGCATGACAATGTTTATAAAATGTAAGGGGGATATAATTTGGGAAAAAGCTTCTTCCTTATACTCATACATATGTAATAAACTTTTCTCTGAAATTCCACAGTTCTTTAACTATACATGTTTAGGTACTGACCACATTTTACATTACACTAGTTAAACTCTTCACTTTTTTTTCCTCTAAAGGTTATGTATTTCTGAGACCCATTCAGGGTAAAAGAACAATACGCAGAGTGGCTACAAAGAGCAGATTTGTTATAATTCCTTTTGTCTCATTGCTGGGACAAAATTCTCAACATTCAAACTTAAAAAAGGAAAAGTTTATTTAGCTCATAGTTTATAGAGATTTCAGCCCATAATCAGCTGGCTACAAAGCAGAGTGGCATGGCATAGAGGCAACAGTGCATGCAATGGAAAACAGCAGAAGCAAAAAGGTGGAAGCAAGCCTCTTTTCTTCCCTTACAATGTGTACAGACTACCTGCCCTGGGGTGCTTGTAGCACTCACACTGTCTCCATGTCTTCCTCTTCAACAGGTTGAGGATGTTTACAGATTGAGGACCCTGATGTCTGCTAAATTGCTTATTTAAACTCCTAAACTTCTCAAGTTGACACAATAAATCAGCCATTATGACATCTTGGAGAATGAAAAGCTGCCCTAGGGCATGTCCTCTGCTCTGTCCCATGTAGAACTGCTGAGTCACTTAGTTAAGCTTCTAAACTTCTCAAGTTGACACAGTGCACAAGCCATTACAATGACCAATTATGTGGCAGGGATCAAAGGATAATTTAAAACACTTATTGTCAGTTTTCTATTGTGTTGAAATTTAGCTTTTTATTTATTTCTTCTTTTACTCTTCCTTTCCCTTATTCACATAATCATAGTGGAGAAAGTTAAGGTGATGTTTTATTTATTTCGTGGTTGGTTCCATGCAGTGGGAGGGGTGCTCAGCAAATCACAAGGCATGACCAACTCCGTGAATCTTTAAAGGGTAAAGAAGTGTTCTGCACCTGGAGGTTCCCATGAACTAGGGTCATATGGATAAATGGATAAATGTGCATACATGTATTTCTGCCCATCTGTTGTGTAAAGATGACTATACTTCACGGTAGCATACTGTGCACTTAAAATGCGTTAGCAGAGTAAATTCCTTATTGTTACACACACACACACACACACACACACACACATATATGCATGCAAAAAACTACAAAGGTATACATAAAAGAACACTTTCTGGGTTGTTAATATGTTTATTGCCTGGGCAATATGAATCTCTCTCTCTATATATATATCTATTCATATGTATGCACAAATTTGTACATTAATTATATGTAGTCTTTAGCATAAAATACTTATGAAATGATATTATAGCTATAAAAACATTTTTAAGATCTTTCCATTTGCCAAGATATCTTTTTATTTCATTTTATTTTTCTTGCCATAATTTTAATGATAAACAAATAGCAATGAGACAGTTTCAAATCAAATCAGTAGGACAGTTTCAGTAATTAACACATTGCATACATTCTTCTTAGTGGTTAATTGCTGTTCAAGATGCGGACTTGATATCCTATTTACAAACACCATTAGAACAAATCCTTCTATTCATTAAGAGAATGTAACTATATATCTATCCTAACCACTTTGAATACACAGATACAAAATGCACATTCATCTGTATACCCTTTTTTTGTTAAGTTCCGTTATTTGAATATTATAGGTGTGTAAACTCAGCAAAATATTCAAAAAGAGTCCAGTAGCCCATAATACCATTGGGTCTTCCGCTTAACTGGCAATGTCAGAAATTGTTAACCTGAGTCCCCCACAGCTCAACATAACAGCATGGCTTTATTTCTTATATTTCGTTTTTATACTTTTCTTCTGGATGGTTAAGACCAAGGTAAAGCAGGACCTATGCAACAAGAGTTGTAGCTTTTGGGTCTGATAAGGTCAGTGAAATCCCCTCGATATCCTAATGCCCAAATAAAGACATGTGAGATCCCAAATCACAAATTTCCTTTTTAGTGGTAACTTTAGAATTCAGCTATGCAAAGCTTCTTCAGTTATACAGATAAAAATACAATGTTTTAATGTTACCTCAAGGCTTGAATTTAGGAATTGCAAACCTTTAGTTTTCACACCAGATCAAGAGCCAGTAATAACTTTAAAATACCCATGAGTTTCCCTCTGCTTTTCTATCTCTCAGATCTGTACTTCATGTTTTCTTTCACTTTTACCCTTTTTCTTCTATTAGTTGACTTATGAGATTAATAAATTCTTTAAAGCATAGGGAAAGATGAAAATTTGTCTCCTTGAGAACAGGGGCAAATTTTTGTTAAGAGAGAGAAATGAAAAGATGTAGTTATTGTTTTTGAAGCCAGAGGCAGATTGTACTGGTAATAAAGGAGAGTTTGTGAGATGCTTTATGGAATTGAAAGTTCTGCTTTTGCCTTCTCTGTCACACTTAGAAAGACTATTCATCTCTTCTTTTAGCACCACCAGTATTTTCTTTTATAAATTTGAAAAACAGAACCAAAAAAAGAGAAAACCTCAACCCTTAATTGCTGCTGAAACAAGCTGTAGAAAAAATACAAGATTGATGTTATAGACACTGAGCATTCATTACTCTGTAACAATTTTAGAAAAAAACACCACTTTGAGTGGTGCCATCACCAATTTTGAACATCTTTCCTTGGGGAGTGCACTACAGAACAATTCCATGAGTTTGCACAAGATGTGAACTGCATTCCTTCAAAAGGGTAATGGGAAACTGGGAAGTACTTTGCTGCCCTATATTGTATGACAGACTTGTTTAATACCAAATGAATCTGTTTCTAGATTCCTTCCCAATGCTTCAAAGATGATAGTTACAAAGACTACATTATAAAACTTCTCTGCAAGCTTCTTATGCAGCTGATGTTATTTGTATGTCCTAGCTTTTATGAAGAGGAAACATATTCACTGGAAACTAAGAAGGCAGAAGTGAGCACTGTATGACATGGGTCAGTGACAAGGTGGTAGAAGATTTTGGTTCTTTGGAGGCATATGTGGAGTGTGTTCATTTCCAGTGTTAGTTATATAGCAGGTATACAATGGTGTATATAATAAAGGATAATGACAAAATAGCACTCAATTCTCATTCAATACCCCAGTACTTGATACTTTTTTTTTTTTTTTTTCGGAACCAGGGATTGAACTCAGGCCCTTGCACTTGCCAGGGAAGCACTTATTCCACTGAGCCATCTCCCTGGCTCCCAACCCCAGTACTTGAAATTCTTATGGTTTCATGGTTGCTGGCTGTACCATCCAAGCTCATTTTCTCTCTCCTTCCATAAGCTTCTTAAGCCCTCCAGCCTCTACAGTTACACGTAACATTTAACCCCAGGACATTCTTGAGATACTAAGACAGGAAGGCACATTGTGAATATGAGTGTAGTTTAAAAAGCATAAAGCATCTGTCTTAATATACTTCTCTGTATTGTGCCAAACTATAGGATACCTTTGCCTTTCTCCAGTTCTCTAAATAGCTATAACAAATTATTGTATATTGGGTTCATATAGTTTTCTGGTATCCCATAAATTTCGGTGTCATCCAGGCTGCAACTCTTACTAGGTATGTGATCTTTTTTTTTTTTTTATAATTTTTATTTATTTGAGAGAGAGAGAGAGAGAGAGAGAGAGAGAGAGAGAGAGTGGTGTGTGTGTGTGGCCAGCTCAGCCCACCAGGGGGCGGGGCTGGCTGGCATGTGGTGCTGGGGGATTGAACCGCGGTCCCTGATGCTTTGCTAAGCTTGTTCCAAGTAGGTGCTTTAGACCACTGAGTCATCTCTCCAGCCCTAGGTATGTGATCTTGAGCTAATCACCATTTCCTC